AGAACTCAGTAAAATTATTGATTTAAATGAGCTAAGCCTATGTTTCTATATTGTAAGTAGTCATTGTAAACATTTATTATTTCAAGGATTTTCAGGTTATATAACTGCTACTCACAGAAAACCTATGTATTTTTTCTGAGTCTGGTTTATTTTGATTAAAACAAGGACCTTTATTCTGCAGGTGTTTCCTTGTTCTCAGTAGCTTTTCTATTTAATGGTATTTAAGTTGTGCATTCTTTCTTAAATATTTAAAAAATAAATTTATTAGTACGAGTGCCTGCATGTGTCTATGTGTAGCTTGTGTAGTTTGGTGCCCTCACAGACCAGAACAGGGCATCAAATCTCATGGACCTGGAGTTGCAGAACGTTCTGAGCTGCAATTTGTGTGCTGGAAACTGAATCTGGGTCCTGCGTCAGAGTGGAAAGTAATTTTAAGTCCTAGCCATTTCCAATCTCCTTTTACTATTTTCTGAAGTGTGTAGTCATTTCTGTCATAACTTCTTCCTGTATAATGAATAATTTTTGTTCTGTTTTCCTTTACCAGTTCAGTTTTCTATATTTTATTGTCTTGGTTATAGTATTTGCTCCTTGTGATTCTAGCATCTGTTTCCAAATAACATTTACCAATATCGGCTGATTCATTAAGCGTCTCCTTGTTATCTAACAAATGATCAATTCTGCAAAATATTCCATTATGCTCTTGCGAAGAATGACATTCTGTGTTTGATGTAAGGCTTTTTATGTGTCTTTTAGGATCTTTTGCTCTAAACTGCTTTTCAGCTGTAAGGTTTCCGTATTGTCTTGTGTTTGGATGATCTCTTTGTGAAATGTAGTATAACGATACAACCTTGTAGTGCTTTTAGTGCCCTCCTTTCTTTCCTTTATTTTCCTTCATATTATTTAACAATTGCTTTATAAATTGAAGTTCTCCACCGCGTACATATTTATAATTTATATATATTGTTGATGGATGAACTTTTTCATTGTGTGATGTCGATATCCTCTTAATTCACATTTTTAAATACTCATTTTGTCAGTTATAACTCTACTTTCTTAATTTCTCATTTGCTTTAGGTTTACATGGAGTGACCTTCTTCATCCCTTCATTCTTTTGTATATGTGCACGTGAAACTAATGTGAGTCTCATAGAGACAGCGTATGTATGCATTTTGTTTTGCTAAATTGAGTAATCTCTTTTGATATGAAGACTCAGTGATTTAATTTTATATAATTATTGATAGATAAAGACATCTTGATGTTACTTTACTGTCTGATTTTAATTGTTTTGCAGTGATTTTTAAAAAAATTATTATTTTTATTTTATGCATATGACTATATTTTCTGCATGTGTGTAAGTGCACCTGTGTTGTGTAATGACTGTGGAGTCAGAAGAGGGGTTGGATTCTCCTGGAACTGGAGTTATGGGTGGTTGTTAGCCACCATGTCGGTCCTGGGAATAGAACCTGGGTCATCTGCAAGAACAGTCAGTGCTCTTGAGCACTGAGCAATCTCTCCAGCCTGATTTTGTCTTATTATTACAAATTTTGTATCTTTTTTTTGAGGATTGTTGTGCTTTGTAGTATTTTAACTTGTAGGGCTGTTCCATTTGAGTCTTTAACACTTTTATTTGGTCAGTTACCAGACACTTTTGCTTTGTGATTACTATGAGACTTAAAGTATCTTACCAAACTCTATCTTAGTAAGATAACAACACAACTTTTATTTCTTACAACTTTATTATTTTTGTGATACCCAACTGGAAAGTAAGGTAGGGTGAGAAAAGGTAAAGAGCTCATAAAATAATTTTGTTTTATTAGTAGAAATTTTTCAAAATGTATGTGAACTCATTATTGATTTACATGTTGTGGCCCACAATGAAATATATTAATTAAAAAGGAATATGGCATGCAAATAATAAACCTTAAAAAGATTCTTTACATTTACTGGGTATTGGTATTTATACAAGTGTCATGAAAATTAGTAACTGTGAACCACGTAACTAGTTTTTCTTTTTTGTTTCTCCCTTTCTTTGTTTCTTTCTCTCATGCATTCTCCGTCTTTTTTTTTGAAGTGCTAGAATTCAGTACCATGAATTGTGTGTGAGAAGTGGCTTATACCACTGATGTATATCCTCAATCCCTACAAATACAATGTTATATGAAATTGCCTACATTTATTCACTTATTGAGCAAAACAGACTTCACAACACAACAGATTCCTATAGTACACAAACTCTAAGATTTTTAATTCTTAGCCAAAAACCTAAGAGAAATTTTAATTTGATACTAAATATACTTTGAAATAATATTTAATTTATTTTTACTTTTGCTTATGCTGGGTACCTGGTCTCACTGTGTAGTCAGGATGTTCTGACTCACAATGCTCTGGCCTACACTTACAATTTCTAGAGCTGCAGGGATGTGACACTTCCCTTCATGCAAGTTTTGATAGATTTTAAATCCCAATATAGTAAAATATTGAGAGAACTTGTGTTGTTGTATGCCATCCCTAAACAATATTTAGATAATGTTTAGGATCTAATTTTGGTACACATGCACTGGGCACAAAAAATAAAATCAGTGTAAAAAGGTGGAGTGACAGTGTCACGTGTGTTTCTTTGGCAGCTCAGAAGATGATATAAGCATATGTTCAAATAAATATCTCCTGAAAATAAATTATATATATATATATATGCTAGAAAAAAAGTAGTTTAGTGGCATAGCACTTGTCTAGCTTGTATGCTTTGTGGGATACTTCCACAGTACTGAAAAAGAAGAGAAAGAAAAAAGAATTTTAAAGATATTTTCAAGAAAGAAAATACAACCTGAGTGGTTATAATGTTTTACTATAACACCTGGAAATGTTTTACATTAAATAAAAAGAAGCCTTCAGGCAAACTCTGGGAAATATTTGAAATGTGGTAACAGAGGAAGAACCAAAACAATATTTTTCCCTGAAGACAAGAAAGTTAGTGGAAAATGGGAGTTCAGAATTGACTCTAGCACAGAGCCTGTACAGTCCCTAAAGAGAAGGGCATACCTGACTGAAATATGCATTCCCCAAGGAAGCAAAGGCCATCATGGGATAGTGTCTGAATATAATCACCTTATCTTTTTTATATCTGCAGCCAGTATCATTGGAGGAGTATGTGAAAAATTCAACTTTGCTTATGGCCAAGTGTCTTATGAACTTAAACTCACATGAATCTTCTGGTGTCTTATCAAAGGCAAGCATGATCAAATGAATGTTGTTTCTTTTTCCTATTGCCATTCAGTGGATTTAGAACAGTGTTTATAAACCATAAGCAGTGTTTCAAAAAGATGTCCAAGACATATAAAAATCTAACTGCATGCACCATCCTCTTAGAATAAAAGGAACCAGTGCACCAAAGCATGAAACTGTTTTTCCAGAATAACTGGGACAGAAATCAGTGATAAGAATCAATGACATTTTCTCTCATAAGTAAGGTAAGTTTTATAGTCTATTCATACGATTGTCTTGACTTTAATTTAGTATGTATCCTGAGAAACCACTAACATGTAAAATGGGATGTATGATGAATTGTTTTGACCAACATATGCCTTATGAAATGACCAAACGATGAGGTTAATTAATACCTGTATGACATCTATATGGGCATGCATTCGTGTTTTGTGAGTATAACTTTAGTAAGAAGATAAGATGAATTCTGTTAGCAAATACAGAATTGAATACGACACTGTTAATTGATGTCAACATATTCAACTTTAGGTCTTCAGAGCCCATTCAGTTCGCATAACTGAGCCATCTTTCCCTTTGTCCAGAATTATCTTATTTTTTTTCTCCCAAAGATTTTACAATCAGAATCCTTTTCTCTAATCATGTGAACAATGGTTTTTAGATTGCATATATGGTGAAATAATGTGTTATTTATCATAAAATGTGTTGAATTATAGGTTTCTATGGTGGCTTCTTACTAAAATGAGCCCAATGCTCTATGATCGGCAGTTTTTCGGCAGTTATGCTTCAAGAAAAATTTCAGAGAAAATGCACTAGAGATGGAACCAAAAGATGTTCTGAAAATCTATAGAAACTTAGGTTAGATGGTCATATTGGACGAGTTGCATTTTCATGTCAGATCCAAATTTCTCTAGATTTATGGATTTTTCTAAGACACTGGCTATATCCAACCAAATTATAGACCTGTGTTCTTTCATTCGAAGTTGGAAATAGTGTTCATTATTCTAAGTACACTAGAGTCCAATCTGAGTAAGGGATCAGCAACAGGTGGCAAAATCTGTTCCTCAATCAGGAAAGAATTGAAGCAATAAAGAAAGAGTAAGAAGAAAGAAGGGGAATTTTGTTCATGTAAATCCACTTCAACCTTTTGCTCATGAACTTTCTAGGAGTCAAATTAGCATATTACAACAATGAGTTAAGCACTGAAGTGTTTTATTGAGATATTAACTATAGTTAGACATTATGATTCTAACTAAGCAAGACAATGCCACTCTGTAGCATGGTAGATGAAAGTCAGGTTCAATAAGTTGCAAGCTGTTCATTTACAGACATTCAATATGCAACTTATATTTGCAGAAGGTGTGGTTGTAAGTTCTATTTCTAATTTATCCTTTTTTTTGTTTTCACAGATTCTATGACAGGAAAATGGCCGTGAAAAATGGCTCTTTGGTAACAGAATTTATACTCTTAGGGATAATAGACCAGCCTGAGTTACAAATACCCCTGTTTTTACTCTTTCTTGTAACCTATATGATAACTGCATTAGGAAATTTGACTTTGATCATTCTAATTATATTGAATTCCCACCTCCATACACCCATGTATTTTTTCCTCTTTAATTTGTCCTGCATAGACCTGTGTTATTCTTCTGTGATTATACCCAAAATGTTGATGAACTTCATGTTAACCGAGAATGTTATCTCTTATACTGGATGTATGACCCAGCTATTCTTGTTTTGCTTTTTTGTCATTTGTGAATGTTATGTGTTGACATCAATGGCCTATGATCGCTACGTGGCCATCTGCAAACCACTCTTGTATAACATTGCCTTGTCTCCTAAGGTATGTTCCTATCTTATGCTTGGTTCATATTTGATGGGGTTTTCTGGTGCCATGATCCACACTGGATTCATCCTCAGACTGACCTTCTGTGATAGAAACACCATCAACCACTATTTCTGTGATGTCCTCCCTTTGCTGCAGCTCTCCTGCACCAGCACCTATGCCAGTGAGTTAGAACTCTTCATTGTCACAGGAAAAGACATCATTGTTCCTACTTGTATCATCTTTACCTCTTATGGACTAATCATATTCAGCATCCTAAAAATAAGGTCCACTGAGAGCAGGTCCAAAGCCTTCAACACCTGCAGTTCCCACATACTTGCAGTTTGTATGTTCTTTGGATCAGGTGCATTCATGTATCTCAAGCCTACCTCAGTTGTATCTATGGATGAGGGAAAATTCTCTTCCATTTTTTATACTGTTGTAGTTCCCATGATGAACCCTTTAATCTATAGCTTGAGGAACAAAGATGTTAAAGTTGCCCTGAGAAAAACCTTGAGCAGGAGAATGTTTTGATAAGAAACTAAATCTCACTGTATCTGTCATTAAACCACAGAGTTCCTGTTTATTATATTTTTGATTTTCTATTTTTATTTAGTATATATTTCATATTTATTGGCAATATTTTTGAATTTAGTATCTTTAGTTTAAAATATTTCAGCATTATCTTTTTTTTCTCTTACCATGTTGATAAAAATGGGAAGTTACCTTGTTTTCAGTGTTTCCTTTGTAATAGGTTGTGTTTTGGGACTATGTGCACAATTGATTTATCATTTTAGCACTTTAAGAATAATATTTTTCTCTATTTATCTTTACTATTAAAGACATCATCGCAGGGATTAATGAACAGTTCTGCCATTGATGACAGTACTAGGCTGGCTACATGTCTTTGTGCAATACAGATTGTATTAAAATATTAAATGGATAGTTGCTCTGTGTCTCTGTGTTCTTCTCTTCTATACTCCACTGAACAAGAATATGTCACATTCTAATGCCAGTGTTTAATAGATATGGCTATTAATGCAATGACTATGAAATACAGCTCAAAATGTAGGGTGTACATATTACATATTGAGCATGGTTTTGCCAGATGTCTGATATCGACAATTTAATATAAGCCAGAAAATTTATATTTCTAAAGCATATTATTGTATAAACAGAATACTGAAGCTCAGCTGGATAAAGAGTTTACATAATGATGTAAGGATCCTTAAGAAAATGTACAATGTCAACTCTTATCCACTTGACTTTAAGCCTACTATCCCTTTTGAAATGCTTTCATATTAAAATGAAATATGAGGTACTATTTCTAATTTGTGCTTTGCTCTTTCCTTGTAATGTGTACGTTCATAGAAGCATTTTAAATATTGAAGTATTTGTTCAGTACAATTGATGGTTCTTTTTGATGGAACAGAGGATACCTGTTCAGCAAGTGTAGTTGGAGATGACTGTTTCAAGTTGGAATTTTCTTTTAGCAAAAAGTTTCAAAATATTTTATGCTTTCTTCTTTTTAAATGAGGGAATAGGGTCATGGGATATAATAAAAGTTAAAAGCCATAGTTCAGGGAGATACATAGTCAAAAACACGACATCGTTGTCTAGAGATAGAGCATTGAAAAATAAACTGTTGTTCTTACTTTCTGTTGATCTTTCAATTGATTTTTGGGTTTTTGATTACTTTAAAATTCTCCTGTTCATTGGTTGGAATTATTTGTGAGAAATGTTGGTTAACAGGGTTTGGGAAAGTAGATGAAAATATGGAGATTTCTATTTTGAATGCTGTAGAGAACAAATTTAGGAGGTAAAATATGAATTGCAATTGAAACTTTGTATAGGAATACTGAATTTATACAAAATAGAATAGAAATTATTACTTTCTTTTGGGAAAATATCTAGAAATAGGAAGCAATATTATCTGAAGACAATAGTGGCCTATATCATTTAATGCTGAAGATGGTTAAAGTTCAGAGGTCAGGAAGAGCTAAACACAATTAAGTCACCCTATATTTCTATTTTTCAATTTTCATGTGGAATTTAAATCCTCAATTCAGCTGAGAAAGGGGAGTGAATTTGTGAAGTGCATTTGGTCAATAAATGAGATTGTTGCAAGGTCTTTCCAAGAGGAAGGTGGTGTATAACTTTTCTCATGAACAAGCAGGAAAAAGATTGAGCTGAGATTTCTCATTGATGCCATGTCCTAATTTAAATATGCTGTGGAATAATTATAGTAACATTTTAAAATTAAACCTACATTAACTGTTTTCTCTTGTGTAGGTGGACAACTTTGCTAAACTGATTCTTAGTGAGAAATGACTTGTTCCCATTCAATGGCTCCAGTGTCAACATAGTTGATTTTCATTCACTGATGTCAACTTCTATAGAGTTAAATTTGAGGAAAGATTCTTAGACTTTTAAGACTGTTTTTATGAAATTAAAACATAACTAATAACATTAAATTAATTGCTTCATGATACTCTCAAACACAATCAATTATGAAAATAATTGGGAAGTAGTAAACGTACAAGAACAAAAATATTGTTGAAAAATAAATGACAGTTTATAATTGTTGATTTTGTAAAGTAGGCATTTCTACATAGTTGTAGTAAGTAATTTCCCTTCCTGGCACTGATCTAAGAAGTTAAGTTTCTGTAAATTGAGGAACACACACACACACAAACAAACGTGTGTGTGTGTTTGTGTGTGTGTGTGTGTGTGTGTGTGTGTGTGTGTGTGTGTGTGTCTTGGTATTTTCATTCAGGAAAATCTGGCAAGTCAAATTAATGACCTAAATGAAATGATAGATGACTTTTAAGGGCACACTGATTACTTAAGTAGGTTTCCTAGAAAGTTGAGAGTAACTTTTCATGTAAGTTTTTACACATGTAATTATACCACACAATATACAAGAATGTGCAAATAATTATTCCAAGAGAATATGTACCAGAATATTTTTTATGTTGATTTTTTTTCCTGGAACTTAAAAGAGTTTTTTTTAATCACTATAATTTCCTTGTGGGTTTATTTTTTCAAAGAAAATGTTCTTTTTGATTTTTTACATATTTTGACTGATGGAAACTTTCATACACTGTATTTAGATAACATTGAACCCCTTACACTATTTTCTCTCAGATGCAACACCACTTCTCTATCCACCACCCAATTTCTGTCCATTTTTAGGGCCCATGTAGTCCAATTCAAGTTCCCCAAATATTCTTTTGTGTGGGTTGATCACCTGGAGCATCATAAACTAACCCAGAGTCACATTCAATAATCCTGACTCCTCCTCTCCCAGTAGCTATCAATTGCCAAATAGTTCTTCAGCTTGGCCTGGGGATTCATGCTTCTTCTTGGATTTTTCTGTCATGGCCTTCTCCAAGTCTCCTGCATGCTCTCACAACCACGTTATGTTTGTAATGTGCAACTCACATGTTGTGTCTGTAAAACACTCTTTAGTTCTGATCATCTACCACATCTGTCACATATAATCTTTACACATCCTCTTCCAAGACACTCTCTTGAGCCTTGGGGAACTGGTGTGATATAGATATCCCATTTTCAGCTGAGCACTCCACAAACTCTTACACTCTGTGCATCTTAATCAGCTGTGTTAATCATGTCTGTTGCAAAAAGAAGCATCTTTGATGAGACTTGATAGTTGCTTTAATATATGTATGTAACAATGAATCATTAGAGTATCAGTTTAATACTATGTCCATTTAGCAGAATAATAGAAACAGATTCTTCAGTATGCCCTGTGACATATCAGGTTTGTGGCCTGATAACAGTCCCAGGTATGGGTTCCATTTTGTGAAGTGGGCCTTAAAGAAATCAAAAAGTGGTTGTTTACTTCCATAACATTCATGGCATTGTTGCAACAATGGGCATGACACTAGCTGTTATAGCACTAAAGGTTCAAAACTGGGTAAGGTTGATGATTACTTTCCTCTGTTGGTAGTATGCTTAGCATTGTCCAACACTATGATAGCTATGCGGTAGTGATGAAGCTTCAAGTTCAGTACCACATTGATTTTTCCATATTCTTCAGTTCATTGAGGTAGAGTCTTAAGCAGTAGGATCACACTGTCAAATTTGAAGGGCAAACAAGAGCAATGGCAACTGCCAGTATTGTTCGATGATATGTAGGTTTCCACTTGTCAACAACTCCAAAAGAGGGAGCCCATTCCTAGGATTGCTTTTTTAAAAAATGCTGCTAGCATGAGGGCAACTAAAACTCTTTAAAAATGGGAGTCTTTATTCTCCTGCCTCCAGAAGGGCTCCTTTTTCCCATCACTAGGGCTCATGTCTACTCTGCTTACCTAATTAGACCTTCCCACACTGTTTCTACAACTTCTTTGGACCTATACCCCCTTTTCTTATTCACACCTGAGACTTCCTGACTAGCCTGGTAAGTCAGACTCTGCCAACTTCTTGATTCCCCAACACACGGAACAGCTACATTCTCCTGCTCCAGGGCACACATTTAATCAGCTTAGCTAGTTAGACCTTCCCCACACTGCTTTCATCCCTGTCTTTGGCTTAGGTCCCTTCCTGCTCTTTTGCCTAAAAGCCCTGGAATAACCTGCCTGAACCTGGCCACTGGATGCCCGTAGTCTTGAGTTGGGCTTTGACACATTTGCACTGTGGGAGTGCTCTCATCTAGCCATCTTGGAGCCAGCCTGTCTCACCAGTTTAAAAAAATCAAAAGGGAGAACCTGAAGCACAGAGAAACTATTCACACCTGATCAGAAAGCAACGAAGCTACATGAACAATATAAACAGAATGGAACTTCAACTAAAGAAGGGCAGGCTAGAATTTTATATCAGACATAGAACCATCAAAAAGAAATCCATATACCCAAACTACAGCCCCAAAACACAAATAATAAGATAAACTAAGATAATATGTCTTCACCAAAACCCACAGGTCCTACAGAAGTGTACTACAATGAGAACCTCCCAGAGGAACCTCAGGACACATAATTTTTGTCAACTAAATGTACATTTATTAACATGAATATATATCAGGAATGCACTGGGTGGAAAAAAATACTGCAAAGGAAGGGATGAGATATATGTGGCTGCCTTTGTTTCCTGTTCTCCTACATCTACTTTCTCCTGTGAGAACATAAGGGGGTTTTGTATCCTATTTGCTTGAAGCTCAGTGTTGCTGCAGACATGTTTTTGCTAATTAATACATCACATCATGGAAATATGTAAGTGCTGCTTCCTGATTCCTGAAGCAGGCCTCTATACTTCTCGTCTTTACACTGCTGATTATTGGAGGCACACTGAGCTATATGCATCACATATAAGTACTGTTCTGTGGAATTGCCAGGACATAAATCAAACCTGAGGTACAAAATCAATCTTGGTTGCTTGAAGTCACTGAAATTGCTCTGATGTGTTTGGGGAAATTTGAGTTTTTATTCCTACTCAGTGGTAGCTATATTTCTGGCACTTTGAGATGTTCCAGGCTCTGTCACTAGATATCCTTCATGAAGAAAGACAGAGACGTG